TCTGTTTCTGACAAGTTCCTGGTTGACGCGGATGCTGCTGCTGCTACAAGACCACACTTTGAGAACCACCCAACAACCTAGCCCGGTGGTTCCCAAACTGTGCTGCCTTTTGGAATCACCTGGGAATCTTTAAAAAACAAACATTGATGCCTGCCTCCCAGGCCCACACATTCTGATTGAACTGGAATAGATGCAATCAGGCCATCATTGTTGATAAAAACTCTCCAGGTAATGTTAACATGCAACAAAGTATGGGAACCTTTGACTTAGCCTCACTTCGCCTTGACCCTAATGCCCATCTTCTTCAGCTGCCCAGCTGGGGCCACAGGAGGGACTTGTCATCTACTAGCATGGCTCAGAGCACTTCTTTCCATCCCTCCATCTCCCGCTGTCTCAGAACACCTGCTCCTAGAACTCCTCGTGCCTCTCACCCCACTTCTCCCTCTTCCTCCAGTCCTTTGTCTCTAGTCCTGTTCAAACTAGACCCTATGCTACAGTCAGTATTACAGCCATCTCTTACCCACTGCCAATACATCCACCTCCTTGTTCTTTCTTTGACCACGTCTAGCTGGGAAAGTTTGAGAAGGATCTAAACCAAACTTCAGGCATGGGAGGGAAGGGGGGCTTCTTGAAGTTGATGACACTTGAGCTGAGTTTCGATGAACAAGTAGGAGTGGAAGAGGGCATTTCAGGCAGGGGTATGATATGTGTAGAGGCACAAAGGAGGGCAACAGGAGGATTTACCTGGAGAACTACATGTTGTGTATGTCTGAAGCAGGTACTAGCCCACAGGGTCAGGAAATAAAACTGCAGAGGCAGCCTCTTGCCAGAAGGGGATAGGCCTGGGGCATGAAGCCACGGAGTTTTTACATCACATTTGCAAGCAGGAAGAGCAGTCAGCTGATACTTTTTTTAATGACTTTTAAATTATAACATTAATACACACTTCGAGAAGATATGAAAAATGTAGAGAAGCATCAAGTAGAAAATAACAATGACCTTTAATCTAATTATCCAGAACTCACCACTGTTAAGATTTTAGGGGCATTTGTCCTTTTCTCCTATGCACATTCTTACATAACTGAAAGCATGCTGTGCATAAATACGTTTATATGTCACCTTCACACTTAACATTATATGCGTATTTAATGTTTTTGAGATGTTGTAAATATCTTAATGGTGGCATAAGTCTATTGTCATGGATACCATAGACTTTTTTTAACTAGTCTCATACAGATGGAAATAGTAAAGGGTGAGATTTCACTGTTATAAATGATGCCACAATGTTCATATTTGTATGAACTTGGATTCTGTCAATGATTTCTTGTGATCAATACCAAAAAAGAATTTAATGAATCAACAGTATGAAAATTGTAGACTCTTATTGTCAAATTTCTTTCTGAAAAGCTTTTGCCAATTTACACTTTCATTATAGGTGTGAAAGAATGCACATTTCATCTTCTCTTGCCAGCACTTGGTGTTATGATTGGTGCCACTGAAGGATTTTTGGTATGGGGATGACATGAGCAGATCTGCGTTTATAAAATCACATACTGGAGGCTGAGTCTAGTGGGCCAGATTGGAGCTGCTGTTGTTGTCCTTGCTGTGCCTCCTTTGCTTCCACATTCTCCTTTTTCCATTTTCCCATTCTCCATCTTTTTTTTCCTTCTCAGAGAGTGTATGACAAGGCTTTGTTACCAAGAGCGAAGGTGAAAAGCCCAGCTCTGTGGCTGCAACATCTTGTGCCCAGACCAGTGACCCTCTATTTACAGTTCTGTCATCTAGATAGATAGATAGATAGATAGATAGATAGATAGATAGATAGACAGATAGTAATTCTCCTTAGGTAGAAATATTTTTTATACTTTTCAGTGAAATTGCCAAATGGATTTATTGCTAAATTAATTTCTTTCTGCATTCTGTGACTGTCCAACCCTACATGTGTTCCTCTGTCCCTGGAATATCTTTGCTCCTTCTCCTTCTCAACCCAGCAAATTGCCTGGCATTCATCCTTCAAGACGTGCCTTAAATGTCTGTGACACCTTCCTCCCACACTTAGCCCAGTCAGAATAGGTTACTCGGGCCTCCCTGTCCCTATAGTTCGATTACAACATTTTCTACACCTAACACATTTTCTCCCTCTTGGCCAAGAGTCCTTTAGGAGTAGAACATTTTGTATTCCTGGTGTTTCTCTGGCATTCAGCTGCTACTCAGTAGCTTATGAGTGAGTGAGTGAGTGAGTGAGTGAGTGAGTGAGTGAATGAATGAATTCCTGTTTTACTAAGGTGCATGGACATTCCATCTTAAATACTAATGAGTTAAAAGTGTAAAGACAATGTGAAGATGATATGAATTGCCAAAACCACACTCAGAATCATGGGTATCAGGTAAAACAGACACCTGGTATACCAGATGTCCTGATCCTGGATTCTAAGTTCTGAACATTAATTGTTCTATGTGCTTAGATGTTGACTTACACTCTATTCTGTTTCATTTTAACTCCAAATTTAATTTGTGCATAAGTATCTCTGTGCTAAAGGAAGTAAAAGGAATTAAGCGATGCCAAAATATCCCAAAGTGTATTCCAAAGAAAACTACCAGAGACTGTTTATAGATATCACACAAAAGAAGAGCCTCATGGTCCCATAAGTTTGGGAAACAACGTTAAATAGATTTCTTTATCTCAGAACGTCCTAGTAGGAATTGTAGGAACTTTAAAGAAAGATCAGCCAGGCAATGGCAGAGAAATAGAAAAGCAATCAAGGCTTTCTTCAGTAGTAGACAGGAGTCATCCTAGCCTCTTTATGCCAGGGAAGATTCAGAGTACAAATTCAAAATCAGAATGGCAAAGTGTATACCGAGATCCTAGCCCCTTACCCTGCATTTATCTCCTTAGTCCCACGTGTGTGTAAGCCTCTGCCCGCCCCCCCACCCACCCACCATGTGGATGAGATCAGCCTTCATTACTTCTCTTCTAGAGCCAGGAAGCAAGGTAATGTGTGGGAAGTGATAGCTGCAAGGTAATGTGTGGGAAGTGATAACAACTTAAAGCCATTCAACAGGAAAATTTGTTAAAAGACCAAGACATTGTAAAAGCTGAAACACTTGAGTCTATTAAGTCCCCTGCTTCTTAGAACATTTTGTTACCAGGGAATGTTTCAAGGAGGGAAAACATTGAACTATAACAGCACTGTCAGATACCAAAGTCTGGTACAAAGAGCAACATTTTACAAGACATCTGTCTTTCTGCCACTAGAGAAACCTCTGAAAAGTTCTGCTGCTTTTTTCTCCTACCTCAGTATAATTCCCCACCCTCCTCACCCCTAGACACACTCCTTGGTTTCTCTCTTCCCTCCTCCTCCTCCTCCTCCTCCTCCTCCTCCTCCTCCCCCTCTCACATTCATAGCCCATGCTGATTTTGCAGACACTGTGTTAAAATGACACGGTAAGCTAAGACTATCCAATGGTTATTTAATGCTCTTTGGTAAGAAGGGAACTAATTACGTGGCTAGAGGTTTAGATACTTGTTGTTTATTGGATCCAAACTCCTTAAGAGAGCCTGCAGCGTTCTCCTAAACAAACACTGCCCTTTCATGGCTTCTTGTTCCAAGCCCACATGAGATGGAGAGTTTAAGGAGACAGTATTTCCACAGATAAGAAAAAAAGGGATAGCAGAGAAGGAGAATGGGAGTATGGACTGAAGTAGAGGGGAAAGCTTACGTGCCTGTGACAGAAAGATGAACCGTCTGTGTATCTGTTGGCAGCTAATGTCCATCGGTGATAATCAGTAGGTTAGACTGTAACAGTGTTGACACATTTGTGGTCAGCTCAGTGGTTTGCTTAACTGTCTTCATTAGCAAAACGTCCATCAAGGGAATGTTTTTAAACAATACCTTCTAAACAAAAAAGTATAGACAAACCTAAACATCTCTTTGGCAATCTTAACAAACACTATTACACAATACCGGCAGGGACCTTAGACAAAAGCCATCTATGAAATAAATAAAAGTGCTGACTTTCTAGTTTGTGGATATTAGTAGGATATTGGTAATTAGCTACAATCTATGAGAAAAGTACCTTCGCCCCGGTAGGGAAAAGAATGGAAGGTTTTAAAGAATCTGCCTTTTTATTTTGCTTCTGTTTTAAATACATAAAAATTGTGTTGTAAAAGTGAGGCTTGTTCCCAACGTCAAGCCTTGATCCTGCCATTGCTTTCACAAGAAATCGGGCAGGCACTGCCCAAACCTCAGGAACCCTGAAAAAGACCTCTTCCAGGTGCTGGATCAGAAGTAACTGCCACTGTGGGAGGCCATCAATCCTATGTGACTCTGAGCCTGAGACACATATTTTCTGTCCCACTTTTTCTACCATGGACTCAGAATAATTTGGTTTAGGTGAAATATTCTTTTCCTTGGCATAGCTTAGGCACCTGGTGTCCTGAAGGAGGTCACTGATTTCCCCCAAGGATGTCCAAGAAGGTTGGCTCACCACTGGCTTACCACAGGCCAAATCTGAGGTTAATTAATCGTCAGTCATCATCAGTAGGGCCATGATGTTATTCAGACATTCAGAGAAAAGAAACTTGAACTAGTTATGGATAAGGACTTTCATCAACATTCCTTCCTATCCTAATCCCAAACCAGTGTGTCTTTAGCTGCACTGGGGGGTTGAAAATCATTTTGGCAATAGCTGGTTCATCATTTATATTACCCTCCATTTGAAGAGCTTCTTGAAATGCCAGCTTCTTCATTGGATGCATATTAATGTTCCAAATCCAAACCTTTTTTCACTAGAACTGGGTTTCTGTTCATGAAATGGTACATTTATTGACCTTTGGGGAAATTCCCTATTCAGAATGAGTACGAAAATGCTGTTTGGTGGGAGAGGAAGGGTTATTGACAGATGTGAGTTGGTCATCTAAGGTGCAGACATTCTGACCACAACCATCCTGAGGAACAGAGAGATATGTATGCCCTGCTTCTGCTTTTCTCACTCTGCAGACCTCAGTGACCAGCTCCTCGAAGTGGTGGGGCTAGAGGGAGCCATGGAGATGGGGCAGATCTACACTGGCCTGAAGAGTGCGGGCAGGAGGCTGGCCCAGTGCTCCTCAGTCACCATCAGGTACGCTTCCTCATTACCCAGCAGCCTCCGAATCTTCCCACCTCCCTCCGTATTCTTACAATGATGAGGAAGCTATCTTTGGGTTTCAGTGCGGGGAGAGTGACAGACAGAAGCTCGATAACATTTATAAGAATGTCTTTAGAGACCATTTCCCAAACTAGGTACAATACAACCATGCAGGACATCAATTAAAGGGTCCACCTCGACCAGTTTGCCATTCTCTTATAATGAATTGGTGAAATTCTCTAAATGGTAATAGAAGATGATGAGGCCCAGAGAACCAGAGGTCCAACTCCTTGCCTTTCTTATCTTCACTAATTAAGATGCTAGAGGGGCGCCTGGGTGGCTCAGTCGGTTAAGCGTCCGACTTCAGCTCAGGTCACGATCTCGCGGTCCATGAGTTCGAGCCCCGCGTCAGGCTCTGGGCTGATGGCTCAGAGCCTGGAGCCTGTTTCCGATTCTGTGTCTCCCTCTCTCTCTGCCCCTCCCCCGTTCATGCTCTGTCTCTCTCTGTCTCAAAAATAAATAAAAACGTTAAAAAAAAAATTTTTAAAAAAAAGATGCTAGATATATGGCAGAGGGCACACTGTGACAAAAACCAGGTTCTCTGCTTGCCCTTTCTTGGATAGTGGCCTTAGAAATACTATTTCCTGGGGCGCCTGGGTGGCTCAGTCGGTTAAGCGGCCGACTTTGGCTCAGGTCATGATCTCGCGGCCCATGAGTTCAAGCCCCGCATCAGGCTCTGTGCTGACAGCTCAGAGCCTGGAGCCTGTTTCAGATTCTGTGTCTCCCTCTCTCTGCCCCTCCCCCGTTCATGCTCTGTCTCTCTCTGTCTCAAAAATAAGTAAACGTTAAAAAAATTTTTTTAAATTAGGAATACTATTTCCTGTATACCTTTGTGGAGCCAAACCATCAACATCAGCAAATCTGTCCTAATTGCCTAAGAGGGTGATGCTTCTGTGGGGTATGGACCCCACAGGTCAGTCACTGCCGGCTCCTGGAAGAAATGGAGTCTAAGAGAGGGAGGGGATCCTCGGTTTCAGTTACTTCTGTTTAATCAATAAAATTCATCAGATTCTTCCCTACCTGATTATTTCAGAAGTCTTTATTCCCTTCCTTTTCCCATCCAGTTTTTCCAGTTCAAATCCTTTAGTGTGCCTTAGGGATCTCCTGGAAAGGCCACAGTATGCAGGCTTCCCAAAGTTATTGGACCACAGACCCCTTTTGTCCCAAAACCTCTTGGGCAAGTACCCTCAGCAGACTTTTAGGGAAACGCTGCTCTCTGCATCCTTCAGAAAAGACCCCGAGAGCTGGTTCCCTGACATCCTTAGCTCTAAACTCTTTTCTTCATTCCCTCCCTGTGTCTTCTTTGTCTTTTCTATTATTCTCCAAACCTTTGTTTGTTTTTTTCTCTGGGCTATTGCTGTGCTGGGGCCCTGTTTTCCACACGAATCCCCATACTTCCTTCCCTGTCCACCGTCCATGACTCCAGCACTGAGTAGGTCTAGTCTGTTAGCACATCTAAGACATAACTGACGTAGGCCACAGAGAATGTAACATCTTAGTCCCAGAGGAATCAAAAACGCCATGTATAAGAGGGAGGATCTTTTCTTCATATTCAATAGGCCTGTTTCTAGATGGAACAGATGGGGTGAGCCAGGATCCCCATCCTCCTGGGCATTTCCCAGACACCTTCCTCAGCCCCAAGAACCAAAATGCCACTCCCTCCTCTCGTGATTTGTTTTATTATTAGGTTTCTTATTTTTTTTATTATTAAATATTCTCAGGATCAGTGAGAGAATCGTCTACATCAAAACATAGCCTATATCCCTCATTTTGTAACTTCAAAAACAGGGCCGATGCCAAACCCAGGTGAGAGCTTCCTGGCCAGTGGGTGGCAACTGTTGCCTGCTCGCCCAGACCAGAGGCTTCCGAAAGGACTTGCCTTTTCTCCTCGAGGTGATGTAGTACGAACTTACAACTCTTCTACAGAAGGAAGTCAAAAGACCTCATCTCTCCCCTCTTAAGAATCCATATGCCAGAGAAGCTTTGCCCCAGGCAAGAAAGCAACACTGTCTTCTCTCCTTCCATCCTACCCATGGGGACAGTATTCCTGATGACCCCATTTCCCAGCTAAGCCACGTTCATAGTCCGAGCCAGCACAGAGTGTGCTGCTGTTCAAGACATACAAGAGAGGATGGTTAAGAGCAGGGGCAAGGCAAGAACACTCAGAGCTGAGCTGTACCTTGTATAGGTTGGAGACGTTACCTCATTGACATGACGCAACTTCTCACTCAACATAGAAACCAGGCCCTTTCCCATTTCGCTTCACTGTGGAGTTTCTGGCACAATCTGCAGGCCCTCCGGCTGGTTGTTGACGGAGGGTCTGCTCAGCAGTGGTGCTGCCATACTTGTTGGCCACTGTTTCCCAGACTTCCGTGGACTTCACTGCTCACCCACGACAGTGTTTCTCAAACTGGAGTCTGAACACCAAAGCAACAGAATCGCCCACGATGCTTATTAAAATGCAGGCCCCTGAGCCTGACCCCAGACGTGCCTAGTCGGAATTCCTGAAGTGGGCTCTGTTTTTAACCAGCCCTCCAACAGAGCCTTAGCGAACCACTCCTAGGTGGGCAGATAAGGTCTTCCCACATCTGTTGCCTTTGTGGAGACCACCCTAATTCTTCACCTCCAGAAGAGGCAAAGCTCACTGTGTTCTCTCGGTTCTCGGTTTTCCAGGACAAACAAGTTGCTGCCAATGCAAGTGGATGGAGAGCCCTGGATGCAGCCACCTTGCACAGTGAGTTCTGCCAATCATTGAACTAAGGGGGAGAAGTGTTATCCTGGGCCCCTTTTGGGTACCGACAGTATGAAATCGCTCACTCTCAGAGTTGCAGGGGCTTTGGGATAGTATAGCCTGTCTTCCATTTTATTCATCCACCCATTCAGGTACCTGCTAAGCCTTTATTGAACACCCAAAGCAGTTCCAAAACAGAACGAGACACTGTTGGTGTCTTCAGAGAGCTCACACTTGTAGTTGGTGAATTCTAAGACGTCATCACTATATCCTTGAGCGTCTCCTCTTGTATCATTGCAATGGCAGAGAACTTGCCTTGCCACCCCAAAAGGAGACCTGCTTTGTTGAGGAAGAAGCGAAATTGTTACAAAGGGCTTCCTTGCGTAGAAGCGAAATCTGCACCCTTGTGCTGGAACTTCTGCCCAGCCGCTGTGACCACTGGAGGCCCTGGGAGAAGATTCCTACAGGGCACACGCTTCACTACAGGTGCACCTACCTGGAAACCCCACTGCAAGCGGAGACAGTGAGTTCTCACTCACAATAATAATGGCCCCACAGGGACCGTGTGCCCTTCTTTCCTAGCTAAAAAGCCAGCTAAAAACTCTATGGTGAAGGGAAACCACCATCCTGGTGTTCAGGGCCAGGGCGTTCACTGGGATATTACATTAATATCACCTTCAGTACTATTACGAATGCTCCAACCTCAAGAGACGAAAGCAGTGTTTCTAAGCTCCTCATTTGTGGAGTATTCAGACATCTCAAAAACCTGCTATTCTGAGCCCTCAAAACATCTAGTTTTCTTCTACTAGAGAAAGGGTTGCATGAGATTCCTACCAGGCCTGAATTGTAGATGTGTTTCCATCACTCTTTCTTCCATGTGACTTCTACAGATTATAAAACTGGCCCCTGGAGACAGACTCTGGGGAAGGCAAACTTCTATAAAAGGGTATCAAAAGGAGAAATTTTTCTGCAGAACCTTACCTCAGTCTTCTGGCTTCTATGAAGACTAAGAAAAAGATGAAAACACACTACAGCAAAAACTAATAATAGCTTGCCACTTTGTTAGAATTAGAAAGGATGGAGGAAATTTCTACTACTTATAATTTTGATGCAGCTAAATTAAGAAAAATCTATCCAAACTCCTCTTGTCTTCTAAAAAAAGGCTGGAAGAAATCAAACCCCCTCCCACCTAACTCAGCAATATCTGAAAACTGGACTGCCATTTCTCTTGTCGCAAGGACTTGTTTTTGGAATAGCCAAATGCTTCCCCTGTCCCCACCCCCACCCTCTCTCCATGCCACCCTTCAGAGATTTCAACTCATGTGAAAAAAACTGTGACCCAGTGATCTTAAGGTGTACGGTCCATGGACATCCACACATAAAGATGTATCCGTCTGCTCAGGCTGCCGTCACACAATACCACAGACTGGCAGCTTCGACGACAGAAATGTATTGTCTCATGGCTCTGGAGCTGGAGGTCTAAGACCAAGGTTCTTTGAGCTGGTTCTCTAAGACCAGGTTGCTTTCTGGTGTGACTTTTCTTCCTTACTTGCAGACAGCCTCATATGACATATGTCTATGGCTTTTTCTCTGTGCGTGCACACTCCTGGTGTCTCTTTTTCATATTATAAGGATGCCAGGGACACCTGGGTGCTCAGTCAGTTGAGCATCCAACTCTCGATTTCTGCTCAGGCCAAGATCCCCGGGTCATGGGATCGAGCCCCATGTCCGACTCCACACTGAGCATGGAGCCTGCTTAAGATTCTCTCTCCCCCCTCTCCTTCTCCCTCTGCCCTTCACTCTCTCTCTCTCTCTCTCTCTCTCTCTCAAAAAAAAAAAAAAGGACATATATATCTTCTGACTTTATCCTTTATCAAGCATAGAGAAAATAAAAGTAAGGAAATGATATTATTACATTAAAACCTCGATTGTAACTCGTTCCATGAGTGTTCCGCAAGACGAGCAAACATTTCTAATAAATTTTAACATGATAAACAAGTGATGTCTTGCAATACAAGTGGTACATGACACTGAACATCACATGATCACAACTGAGCCAGTGGTTCTTGAAATTCGCTTTGATACATGAGTGCTTTGGATTCTAAGAATGTTTTCAGAACAAATTATGCTCACAAACCAATGTATTACTTGTATATTAATTTTAGAAAAACTAACCTTCCAACATGCCAAAAGCATGAAGTGTAATAAAGAAAGTCACGTTTTATTTGATAAAAGGTACACTCATTTCTGAGATATAATAGTCATAAAAGTTTAGGTGTATAATAACAGAATCAAAATATATACTGTGAAAAACAGTATAAATGTATATTCTGAGAAAAATAGATGAATAAGAAGTTGACAGAGAGACAAGTATTGAGAGTCTTTAAAATATTTGTTTCGAGGGATACAGAGTACTGATGCATAGGAGCACTTGTACCCCAATGTTTATAGCAGCACTCTCAACAATAGCCAAATTGTGGAAAAAGCCTAAATGGCCACCAACTGATGAATGGATAAAGAAATTGTGGTTTGTATACACAATGGAGTACTACGTGGCAATGAGAAAGAATGAAATATGACCCTTTGTAGCAATGTGGATGGAACTGGAGAGTGTTATGCTAAGTGAAATAAGCCATACAGAGAAAGACAGATACCATGTTTTCACTCTTATGTGGATCCTGAGAAACTTAACAGAAACCCATGGGGGAGGGGAAGAAAAAAAAGAAAAAAAAGAGATTAGAGTGGGAGAGAGAGCCAAAGCATAAGAGACCCTTAAAAACTGAGAACAAACTGAGGGTTGATGGGGGGTGGGAGGGAGGGGAGGGTGGGTGATGGGCATGGAAGAGGGCATCTTTTGGGATGAGCACTGGGTGTTGTATGGAAACTAATTTGACAATAAATTTCATATAATAAAAAAAATTAAAATAAAATAAAATAAAATATTTGTTTCGGCTTGCCCTTTGAGGTCAAGAAGCAAAAATAAACAAATGTCACAACTCTTGGATGAAATAACTCTGTAGCCTATAAACAAATTAAATACCTCATTTTTCCCCCCAGGATCCAGTGAGTATTTAGTTCACAAAGAAAAAAAATCTGTGTAAAATCCAGAAGGAAAAATCATAAAACTTATTCTATTTGACCCCAAGGCAACAAAACCAGATATTAGTAATAGAAGCAAACTAATTATTAGTAAACAAGTGAAATCAAATCACTCAGAGATTTTTTTAAATTCTCCTAAAGAATAATAGATTCAAAAGGAGACCAAAACCACCATTATAGGCTGTTTCAAAAATAATAAAAATCAGAAGGTTCTATTCAAAAATTGTACAGTGTAGCCTGAACTATATTTAGAAGTAAATTCAAAGTGTCATATACTTCCATCATTTAAAAAGGAAAGACATGTAATGAATAATTACAATATTAGAAGAACAACAGTAACACAAACTGAGGAGAAGCAGAAGGAAGAAAATAATAAAGATAAAAGTAGAAATGACATATTTAAAAAGCAGGAAAATTGAGAACTAGTTCTTTAAACATGCCAGATGTTTGAAAGCCTGATTTTAAAGAGAAAAACAGAGATCAGAGTTATTAAAATATAAAAATATATAAAATATAAATATAAATGTGATGGTTTATTTTAATTATAAGACATGACTTATTTAATATATAATCATCTTGATTCTAATAAACTTGAACATCTCATGAAAATTCTAGGTAACCACTAATAAAAGAGAAAATGTCTTCAAAGAATTACATCCAAAATGATCTTAAAACATGGTCTTAACTGGTGAGTTCTTCCATACTATTAGGAAATAAATATTCGTGTAAACTGTTCCATAATATAAACAAGACAGAAAGTCACCCAGTCCATTTTGTGAAATTAGGACAGATACAAAAACTGAACAAAAATTTTTATTTGGGTTTTTTTTTTTTAATGTTTATTTTTGAGAGAGAGACAGACAGAGCACGAGTCGGGGAGGGGCAGAAAGAGAGGGAGACAACAGAATCTGAAGCAGGCTCCAGGCTCTGAGCTGTCAGCACAGCTGATACGGGGCTCAAACTCACAGGGGCTCAAACCCACAGACTGCAAGATCATGACCTTAGCTGAAGTCAGACACCCAACTGACAGAGCCACCCAGGCGCCCCAAAATTTCTATTTTTAAAGAAAAAAAAACCTTAGAAAGCTAAAATCAGAAAAATAATCCCTCAAAATAATAAAAAATATTTATCTTAAACTAGTAATGAACATTGTACTTACATGTTTACTTAGCCCTTAGTAAGACATCAGAGAATCCTGGGCAAGACATGTGTGCTAATATTGTTTGGAAGTTTTTGTCAATGCAATATAAATGCCACAGAAAAGAAATGTAACTATTTGGAAAAGAGTCAAAACTGTCATTATTTGCATATAATATGATTATTCATATGAATATGATACTATGCAGATAATATAGAAAGATAATAGAATCAACTGAAAACCCCAAAGATTAAATTATTTCAATGAAGCCACAAGGAAGGATAGACAAAAAGTTAATAGCTTTTATATATTCCAGCAATAACTAATCACAAGAATAGAGTAGAAAAAAATTAAGATATCATAATAGCAACAACCAAAACAAAATGGTAAATTGAATTGTAAAAAAAAAGATGAATACTACTATGACTTAATATAAAAAATATATACTTAAATTTAAAAACATCCCATGTTTCTAAACAGGGATCCCAAACAAGATCCCAGTGCAATTATTTTTTTAACTTGACCAAACAATGCAATAGCTAACGTGTTTTATGAAAGAGCTATAAGGAAGGACTTCCCACAAGGTATTAAAATAGTTATAGAGCCACAATAATTGGCATGATATTAGACAGATAAATCAGTAATGCCAAAGAGAGCCCTAAGAAACCCCAGTACACATAAAATCTATTAAAAAAAGAAGAAAGATCATAAATTAATTTGAAAGGAATGGACTGTTTAACATAACGGTATCCAAAAAATTGCCTGT